ATCAGATCCCGATATTTTACAATTTAGCAGGAAAATGATTGTGGTCGTTAACTTTCGTCGTCAGCTATTTAAAAAATCCTTATTTCCAACGGGAAAATTGGCAATTTTGGTCCAGAAACCACAAAAACTGACATATTTTGGAATGTTATGCCTTTTCGAACTCGTAATGACATTTCTCATCGACTGGCATTCAAATTTGAAAAATTTTATTTTTGTCCAATTTTTGCAAAAAATGATTAACAAAAATACAGTTTTGCGTTATCCGAAAATAGCGACGAAAATAGCCGTAACTTTGCTCTAAAATCCATAAAAGACATATTATGAAGTATTGTACCATTTTCAGCTCGTTATGACATTTCCCATCGACTGGCATTCAAATCTGAAAAATTTTATTTTTAGCAAAAAATGATGATGTTACAAAAAAATTCGAAAATTGGTTAGCTTAGATCATCAGCTGTAAAAATCAGTAATTCTTCTTGTTTAGCCATCCTATTTGGCCAAGATACGTCAGGGAATACCCGAGAAAATCATTTTTTTACTGGTTAAAAATATTGTTTTTGGCATTTCAATTGAAAACCATGTTATACCCACATGACTGTTTGTATCGAAAAGTGGTCTGAATAAATTGGGGTCTGGCTAATTGTAGTACACTTTTTGACCATTTTATCAACGAAAAACCCTCAAAAAAAAATCGTATTTTTGCGGTTTATTAGTTGGAAAAATCTGTATTTAGGCCATATTAGTTGAAAAAATGGTTCAGGAATGTAACATATTTCTGAGCTCGTAAAAACATTTGCAATCAATTGGCATTCAAATCAAAAAATTTTATTTTTGGCCATTTTTTGCAAAAAAATGATGATGTCACCCCTTATCAAAAATGTAGTTCTAATTTTGCTCTAAAAACCACAAAAATTGTCATATTTTGGAATGTTATACCTTGTTAAGCTCCTATTACCATTCTTCATCGACTGGCATTCAAATCTGAAAAATTTAATTTTGGTAATTTTTCGCAAAAAATGATGATGTTACCCCTTACCAAAAATGCGAGAATTAGCCCAAAATGTATTTTTTGAAATAGGCAGAAGAGTGATTGGGGTTGTTAGTTCTGGATGTCAGCTATATAAAAAAGTGGAGTCTTCAGTTTTGGGACATGTTTTGACCAAGATACGACCAAGAACGAGCGGGGAATGTTCGTATTACTCAACCAAAAATCCTGATTTCAAGTTTTGGATTTAACATATTTCGAAAAGTGTCTTGAGTAGTTAGCAAATTAAAGCCCGAGAAAATAGGCAATATAGGATCGGGCGATTAGATCCGCACTAGAAGGATGTGCTTCCCCCGAAATCCAGATTGAGTCGGGCAGCTGCGCTTCGCCTCCGCTGAGTGGGCCAGATCAAAGGCCGCTTTTCACGTGCCTCACGTGGCACGCCCCGGCTGATTAAATTAGCGGATTGTGTGCTCCGGCGACAATCGCCAGACATTCATATCTAGGCTTGGCGGAGGTAAAAAGCGAGCTGCAGTTGCGTCTAATTGCCAGTTTCGGATTTCGGCTTTCGGATTTCGTATACCGCGCAGGCGCAGCTGAAACCCCGCCCCCCGCCTCCCTTGGCCGAGGTGCCGCCGGGTCTCGTTACACAAGCCCACTCCGTTACAAATGTCAGGCGACCTTACGCACAACGGGTCTGATGTTCGCCGCCAAATGTCAGCGAGTGGAGCGGGTGAGCGGGCAAATTAATTCATTTTCAACACCTATTTTGACAGTTCATAAAATACATTTGTCATAAAATCGGTCAGAGACAGCGACTACTGCTCAGCCGGTCGGTCGGTCGGTCGGTTGGTCACTCGTTCGGGCCAAGATTTATGTGCCTCATTGGGAATGCAATTCAAGAAGGGCCTGCCTGCCTGCCACATCAAATTTGTCCCTTTTTCGCGGGAGCCTCGCCTCCCTTTTCCCTTCCTTTTTTTGGCCATTTGCCCGTTTGTTGTCTGCCCTGTGAGAAGCGGGCAACCGGAGGCCGGGCCCAAAGCGAGTTGCAAAAATCTTAACAAAGTTATTTTAGCAAACGGTACGACAAAAAATGTCATGTCCCCGAGCATTGCAACAGGGCAGCCAGCGAGCATCCTGCGACGTCCCCGATGAACTGGCGAACTGGGGAACTGGACACTGGACACTGCTCACTGCTCTGCAATCGATATGCGTGCAGATGCTCCACTTTGATCAGGTCATCAGCGACACATCGTTCATCATTCCAGGCGGACGGTGCGCAGGAATGCAGCGGGGTGAGCAGGAGGAGCGGAGGAGTGGAGCGGAGTGGAGGAGCTATGCATGACCAGTAGCCGAGTTCAAGACAATGGGCCAAAGCCATGAAAGGAACGCTTTTCAAGTTTTACGCCAAAGACCCAATGTCTGCGGCTGGGACTTCGCTTCAGCTTCGGCTTCGGCTTCGAACTCGAGTTTGGGTTTGGGCTTGGGCTTGGACTTGAGCTGCCGAGGATGAGGCTGGATGGAGCGGCCGAGGATGAGGATCCCAGGGCCAGGCCGCGACTTTGACGGATGAATTTCACAAATAACTTCAACTGCTGCTGCAGTGCAGCTCTTCTGTTTTTATTTAGCGGCTGCTGCCTGCGTTATTTATTGTACGAGTATTTGGCCTGGACTCGCAAACAAACCACTACACTCGGGAAAAAAGGGTGTGGAAGGGCTTCTATTGAATGTATCATAAAGTTGGTGAAAACATAAACAACCCAACTACCTTCTTGTAAATCTCTTTTGGAGGAGAATACTCATAAGTATTTATCTTCTCCTTAAAATGTGGCTTACTGGCTGCTCTTCCTAACTATAAAATTATTACGAAATGATGGAACTAAGAGCTGCGTTTCTCGCAGTGCACTCGTTTTGGAGCTGAAGCTGGAAACGCAGCCTGCAGCCTGCAGCCTGGACTTGGCATTGACACGAAACCTTGTTGAGTTTCGGAACGCAGGCCGGCGAATGACAGCAACAACGTTGGATGCTGGATGCTGGCTGCTGGATTCTGGATGCTGGATGCTGGACTCTGGACACTGGACATTGGACGTCGGACGTTGGATGTCCCCGTTGTGTCTAAGTTTGGTATGCGTCATTTTTACAAGGAAATTCCTCTGAGTTTGCGACTCCGGTCCGAGTCCACTCCGACTCTGGCCAGAGCAGTCCGCTCCTGCTGCTAATTTATGTAAACACGCTAAGTACAGTCCTAGCTGCACTTCACTCCCCCTTTCGCAACCCCCTCCCACCCCCCGCCGCCCCCTCAATTAGAGCCCATTGAGCGAGCACGCGGACCCCGCGAATTCCGGCCGAAGTTTTAAATTGAAATCGCAAAAAGCGCTCGCAAATGCAAAGTTCTCCGCTTCTCGCTGGAATTCCTTCGCCGGCCATTGTCTTCCGTTGGCCGTTGGCCGTTGGGTCGCAAAGGTGTTGATTTAATGAGGGCCAGGCAGGCGACCGCAGAACTCAGGGCTCTTGAGGCCTGTCCGATGCTCCCATGCTCCCAAGCTCCTATGTTCGAATGATCCAATGCTTCGATGTTGCGATGTTGCGAGTTCGTTCCCCCAAAGTGCAGGGAGCTGAGTGAATCCTCAGAATCTTGGGCTTGAGCGGTCGGATGCGGCGGTGATTGACATGGCTGGGATATTTCGGAATACTTGCGAGGCCCCCCTCCCCGGCTGGAACCCTGACTGGGAAGCCTTTTTCCAGCTAATTAATTGGCAGCGAATGAAACACTCGAAACACTCGCGCTGCGAAGATGCGAGGCGAGTAAATCAGTGTTTTCCCCACTTTGTGGGCAAATGGCACAGTGGGCCTCCTCCCCAGAAAACGATGTCGCGTCGAGGACATAATGGAACCATTCATGGGGCCTGTAAAAGCCCGTTAAGCCCGACTCAAGCATATCCTGTTGCGCTCTTTCATGATTAATGGAACAGATTTTCCAGCTTCCTTCCGCCCGCCACACAGATACACACACTCAGATCCGCCGGCGCACACAGACACGCACTTGCCACTTAACTCGTTCAAGTGTGATGCATTAATGTGCCGTCGGCATCCTTCCCCCACCCCCTTACCTCCCCCTCCCCTTTAGCCATCCGAAAGGACAGCCAATGTCCCTGGAAGTGGCCTTCTACTCCTCTCATACTCGAACACAGCTCGGTTTTGTATTAAATTTTCTTTATTTTTATTGTTTTTTTTTTCTCGCTTTTTCCTTTGTTTGATTTGATTTAAAAATTACATTAATTACTAGAAATAAATGTCTGGGGACTGAGAGGGGGAGGGGGAGTCGCTAGGCTTCTTTCGTGATTTTTTGTTGCCATTTTCTAGATTAAAACTAATTGTTTAAATGCTAGCACATAATGTTTTGTTCTTACGCCTTCGCCTCCTGTGTCGCTCGTAAGTTTGATTTGCTTGGGTTGTATCTTGAGTTCTGTGTACCATATGTACCATATTACGTACTAACAATCGCGCACCCAGACACTCGTTCCACGCACAGACTCGCACTTTAGGTGTAAAACTATCAATTACTTGCAGTGGCTGAATTAAACTAGAGTGAAACACACGCACTAATTACCGCTTAAACTAGATTACGTTAATCCATAATTACGGCTACAGCAGCGAGTCGGATTTCGAGTCTCTGAATTCGCCTGGGTTTCGGTTGTAAAAAGGGTAAAAATGGTAAGAAGGGTAAGAAGGGTAAAAAGGGTTCTTCCCCGGTCTAAAATGCGGTCTATACAAAATGTACACTTGAAGCAACTAACTGATTTCAACGAGAGACTATATTGCACAATCAAAAAAAGAACGAAATGGGCTCCTCTTCTACAAAGGTGCAATGAGACATACAATGGAAATGGAATACGTTCGGGGATCACCTGGGATCACCTGCATTTGAGATCTGATTTTACTGATTTCTGTTGCTACTCAAGAACAAAACGCTCGAACACTCGAAAGAAACTCTGAAGATCAACAGCTGATTTCGTTTGTTTGATTTCATTTATTTACGATGTACTTTACGCTTTATGCTTTGTTGTTGTTGCTCACTACATATAGTTTACGTTCATATAGATAGGTTTATACATAGTTAATTCGCTAAATTAAACAAAATAAAGGACACGTTTCATACTCTCTCCGCGCTTCTTCTGTGATTGAGGAATGTTTCTTCTGCTTAAGTATTTTTTGTTTTCTTTTTGTTTGTGTTTGTGTTTGTGTTTGCGTTTCCTTCTTAGCTAGACTACACTGTAGAACGACTGTATTCACGTTGGTAAACATATTCGATTACGTTTAAAATGTACAAATTCACGCTTAACTTGCCAGTGATCGCGCTTCTTCATCGGCGTTTCATATTCATGGATATTTTACAGGTTGCTATCATGGGTTATTGGCTAAGATATCGTGTGCTGCACGCCCCGCCCCGCCACGCCCCCGTCCATGCCCCCGCCGAAGGCCCCGCCCCCGCCGGCGAGGTCCTGCCGCTGCAGGATGTGCCGGGCCTCCGCTTCCGCCTCCGCCTGCTCCAGCTGCTCCAGCTGCTCCAACTGGTCCAGCTCCAGCTGGACGGGGCAGGAGTGCTGCTGCTGCTGATGGAGGTGATGGTGGTGGTGGTGGTGCTGCTGGTGGTGGTGCTGCGTCCAGGCAGCCCCTCCGGGCAGCTGGTGGGGATGCTGTTAGACCGCCGGCCAGACTCTGTGGATGGAAGGGGGAGGCGAGAGGTTAAAGGTGAGTGGTGGGCAGTGAAAGCTGGGAGCTGGAGTACTCACGTCACCAGGGAGGGATTCGTCTCCGGCTGGTACCAGTACTGCGGCACGTAGCCACCCATCTGGGGCGCCGGGTTGTGGTGGTGCGACTGCGGATGGAGCGCCGCCGCGGGGTGCGGGGGCTGCGGCGTCATCTGGGGCGGCGGCTTGTGGTCGATCCAGTGGGGCTTCTGGTCCCAGGGCGCTTGCGTCGGCGGACTGAGGCCCGTGGGTGGGAACTCTGTGGGCACAAATTCGGCGGATGATGATGGGTACTCTGGGTGGGGGTGGCCGGGCGGCAGGCGGAGGCAAACTCACCGGGGGAAAGCTCGGACACGGGCGTACTCGATGGCGTGGGACTGTGTCCGGGAGGTAGGTAGTGCGAGGGCGAGCCGCTGTTCGAGCCGCCGCCGTTGTTACCGCCTGCGAATTGAGAGAGATCCGAACAGAATCGGGGAATGGGGTTAGCTCTGGGGTTATCTCTAACTGCTCTCCCGATGGATGGATGGAACTCACCACTGTGCATCTGGCTGGGGCTGTGCTGGCCGGGATTGGGCCCTCCACCGCCCAGGGGCATGCCGCTGTTGGTGCCCGGGCCCTGGGCCGCCTTCATCATCTTTTTGTACTTGGAGCGCCGGTTCTGGAACCAGATTTTCACCTGCAAGCAGAGATCGTTCGATTAGTGTGGGCATTATCGTGGGAATCGGACTGAGAGCAAGTCACTCGGCTAATCCATAGCGACAGCATCCTTAACCGGGGCACAACCCGCTAACAGATTCATTTGCATCTACCAGTACCAGTGCATCCATGAGATACACGGACTGCGGCTGCGTTGGCAGCTTTTCAAACAGCCTTTCAGCTGAAATTAAGAGTGAGCGCTCGTGAAAAGCGGCTGGCAGGAAAATGGCTCTATAAACTTTGGATTTTGGCAGCGTGCGACACATACGAGTGCCGAGATGTGTTTCATCAGTTGCGAAACGAACTCGAATCCGCGGCCGAAAAAACTATCCGCAGATACTTTCGATTTCCATTCGAAGCTCCGGCGCTTCTAGAACTAATTGTGCGCTGAGCTGTGAGCTGTGAGTTTTGAGCTGGCACTTCACTTTTGAAAGCCAGCAGCTGGATCCGCACTCCGATCCGCGAGTGAGTCAGAAGTGTGGCTCCAGATACTCGTACTGGCAGTAACGGCGCGTATCTAATGCCGCTCGCGAGTATCTGCGCCTGCAATCTGCACGTTGACTCCGCCATGGCGTCCACGTAGAGCCGCCGCCAAGGGGCTTATGCACATGTACTTGTACCAGCACTAGCACTCGCACTCGCACTCGGCGTTATAGATACTATATATACAGGTATTAACTATATAAACCCGGCCAGACTCGCCCAAGGTCGTTCTTCGCGGTTGGCTGGATTTTTGTAGCGCCGCGCAGCTCGCTTTTTGTGTTTTGGCGAATTTCACTGACTTTGCGCTTGGCTTTTCGGTTTTTGCCCATAAAACATAAAGCAGCAGGCGGAGGAGACTCGGCTTTAATGAGCATTCCACCCATCGATTTCAATTAGGCGATAGCTACTACTGTCGGCAATCCCAATCCCGATCAAAATCCCAATCTCATTCCCATTGGGATCCATTGTCGGATCATTGACATTGGCAAACGAGCTTCGGTAGCCGAAAACACGAGCGATTTCCATTTCATTTCGCTTTGCTGCTCAATCAAGCGCGAATAGTTATGTCACTCCACAGAGCTGCTCTCGGGGAATACCTTTCGAAATGCAAAATTCGGCTTTGAACTCAAGAAGAGATCGAGAGGAATAGTCCTAGGAATCGCATTCGGTGCCCAGTGCTCAATGTGTTCGTGTGTTTTTTTTTTTGTTTGAATGTTACGCAAGGCAGGCCAAGCGAGAAATCTGCGCTCAATGGTAAACGCTGCCGAGGTCTCGAACAAATAGTCACTCTTTTGGAAACATTTAATCAAACACTTTTCTGTGTCATTTGCCAAATCGCAAAGCCAGCGAGTGTCAAAACTAATGGTCAGCAGCCTCTCAATTGTCAGCTTTGAGACGAGTGAGCCTCTTTATACATATAAACAAATAAATGCCCCAGCAGATAGCGTGGTATCAACTCAACAAGTTCCCCTCTTAAAAACGACGACGACAAAAGTTCGCATGAGAGTAAAAGTGTCTTTCGCATCGACCGACAGACTGTCAAATGTCAATCAGCCTTATGCTATGCCATGTTTCCCCCCCCCCCCATCCATCCCCAACCATCTCCTTCTAAATTTGTACCACTTTCGCATGAGCAAATATGGCAAAAACGAGGAGGAATTAGCATGTCACTGTGCCAACTCCCGGCAACCACAACCGATCGGAGCGGAGCGGAGCTGTCTGCCCGGCATTATCCTTTTAACCCACTTCTGCGAGCGGTGGTCAGATGGCCGGTCCGCAGCAGCAGCAGCAGCACTTGCTTGATCGCTTCCGCAACGTGTCACTTGGCATATAATTTATGCAGTCGAACGCACAATTGATGGCTCGCCAGCAGTCTGAGTTTCAGTCTGAGTTCCAGTCTGCGTTTGAGTCTGTGGCTGCGAGTCGGAGGCAGATTACAGATGGCTTTTATGACGACGCCAATGCGCTCCTCCTGCTGCCTGGAGAGCAGTGATCTGGGGATCCAGAGATCTTGTGATCTGGAGAACCGGAGATCGAGAGATCGAAAGAGAAGGAGCTTTCTAATTGCGAGCACTTGCCGTTGGAGCGATAAAAGCCGGCCACAGAGACACCTGCGTGCCCCGCCAACTGTTAACTGGCAACTGGCAACTGGTTCCGCGGGGCATTGCCAAATGTGTCCCGGGCCCCAGACAGACTCTAATTCATTTGACAGGTGAGCATTTAAAACGTGGGAAAAGATAAGCCAGTCCCTGCCCGCCGGCCAATCCATCGATTGATTTGTGTGGGAGCCCCGACCGCGAGCTTTTCCGCTTTCCGCGGAAACACTTCACGTCACCGCCGCTTTTCGTGCGTATTTTCCCTGATAAATCACGCCGCAACGAGCCGACCGCCCCCCTGCCAAGCCATAAACCCAAAGCCGGAGGAGCAGCCCCCTTTGACCCCACTCCACTGCCGAAACTTACGGCTTTATTAGCCGAGCGACCAGGGCGCTGGGCTAAGTAAATAGTGAAGACGGCGGACACGGATGCCTCGGCTTAATGGCACCGACCCCGCCCCCAAAATGGAGGGAGGAGCTCTCCGAAGGAAGAGATGCTTATGGGGCTCGACACCCTCTTCTTCTGGGGATTCCTGGGCATGTGGAAGGTCTTAAACTTCGTTTTTTTAGAAAGAGCAAAGAGAGTTTGCCAATGGTATCCCGGTTTTCTTGGCTTTGAGATGAGTTTCTCCCCTGAACGCACTCGAACCTCCTCCGATTCGATAGAGTATCTGGGCTTCCTCCTTTGATGGCCGACTATTCCAGTATTGCAAATGCATTTCCACTCGACCCGCCAACGACGTCTGACTAAAAAGCAACAAAAATGTTTATGGCTTTTCCCCGCCAGCAGCAGCAGCAGCACCAGCAGCAGCAGCAACATCAGCAGCAACAGCAGCAGCAACAGCAGGAGCAATAGCAGCAACAAAGGCGACGGCAACAACAATTGGCAAGGCATGAAATGGTCTCAGTTTTGTTGCCACAAATTTATGGCTACCGAGCGGAGTTTTCCCCTCATTGTTCTCAGCTTGTTGCTTGTTATGTTCGCTGATGTTGCTGCGGCTCTGGTTTTCATTCATAAATTCCGTGCAACAAGATTTTAGCATTTTTGCAGCACATTTTTGGTGCGAGAAATTTCAATTTGCTGGCCAAAGCGGTTAACATGAAAACACTTTTCGGCGGCTTCTTTCAGCGGTGGCTTTGAATTACGTCCCAAACCGGGGGCATTGTCTTAGCCGCTGATTAATGGCCGCCAGCGATTGCCCGCCCGGCCGATTGTCGATTTCCGATCGGCGTTTGCAGGCGCCAAATCTGGCGGAACTCGAGATCTGCTCCCAATTCGCTGGCCAAACGGGCCATTGCGCATACGCCCGGTGGGTCGCAGCCGCCGAGGATCACTTTCCGGATCAGCCGGATCACTTTCGTTCGCTGCGACCCAGCCTGATGGCCGCTTTATGGTCAACCACTTTCCTCCGGGCCGCGGCAGCACGCGCCACCTGGCCAAACGGTTTTAATCGCGCTGCAATCGCCAGCGAAACGCGCACAACCCGCGCGCGCGGCAATTTTTAATTTATGCACAAGAGAAAAATCGTAAAAAACACAGGAACCATAAAAATTTAAATAGGCGATAGAGCGAGAGGCCGAGAGCGAGAGGGAGAGGGACAGGTAAATCTGAGCTGCTGCGCGAAATAAAATTTTGATTTATGATCTTGTCGCTGAAGTTGTTCGTCAACAGCCGGCGACGGCAAGTAGCGTGTTTGTTGTTCTCGTTGTTGTTGTTGCTGTTGTTGTTGTTGTTGCTGTCCGGACTGCTGAAGCTGCTGTACAAGTTTGTTGGCGCAACAAGTGCTTTCGGCCAGTATAACTCACTCGCCGTCGGTCGGTCAGTCAGTCATTCATAAAAGCAGCGGCCGCGTGGCACTTTTGATTTTGTTGCCGTTGTCGTTGTCGTTGTTGTTGTCGTTGTTGTTGCTGTTCACTGTGTCTGTATTTCGGTAAACCCATGTTCATGCCTGATTTTTATCTGCGAGCAGTAAAAAGCGAAAAAGTAAAAGCCAACAAAACGCACTTAATATATATTTCCCTCAGCCCGAAACGATTGCAAACGCGCGATCGGGAGCGATTGTTGCTGTTGCTGTTGCTGCTGCTTATGTTGCTGCTGCTGCTGCTGCTGCTTATGTTGCTGTTGCAGCGACAACGGCAACTATTGCGTGTGCTGAAGGCAACTGGCTGGGTTGGGAACACCCCCAAAAGCGGCAGAAGAGTCGGAAGACCCCTCCCCCCCTCACCCTCCCGACCAGAGACACATCAGCATATTTCTTCCACCGCCACTGCTGCTTCTTGGCCCAAACCCCTTCTCCACCTCCTCCTCCTCCTCCTTCTCCTCCTCTGCATGCTCTTTTGACTGCCATGGTTGACGGATTACGCAACTTGCCGGCCGTAGCATTTTCATTTTATTATTGTTATTATAAACTCTCCGCATTGTCGGTGGCGTTTTCATTGTGCTTGGAAAATTTGTACATTGCATGCGATTGTTTGTTGTTATACGCTCCGCGGCAGCAGCAACAGCAACAACACCACAAGCAGCAACAGCAGCTCAGCAAAAAATTTGTTTATAATTTTGAATGCAGCAGGAGCAACAACAACAACAGCAGCAGCAGCAACAACAACCGCCGCTGGCAGGCAATGACTTCGAAACATACAACAATGCCATGTCGTGGCAAAAAATGGAAAAAACGCTACAAAAAGTTTTCTTTGAAAAGGTTTTTGTGTTTCCCGTGTGTCGGACCTGCCCTAGAGTCAAGTGTCACGCACACTCCATGCTCCAAGCTCCGTGCTCCATGCTCGATGCCTCATGCTCCATCCATCCCCAGTCGCAGCCTCAACTTTCAGCTCATTAAAGCCAGTTCAAGTTCGCTGCCTAAGTCTTTCGTTCTTGTTAGCAGGAGAGCGGGGGAAAGGGACGG